GGCAGAGCACATTTAAAGAAGGTAGAGGCTGATGAAAGAAGACCGACCCTCGCCGCTTTGCTGTTTTTCAGGTAATTTCTATTCGAACTTCTTCATGGTCGTGCAATGGAACGTCTGCTAAATTGTCATGAATTGGGGAGTCGGGTTCACCATCTCCAGGTGTTATGTTTTCACTGTCATTCAGCAAGCTGAAGAAGTTTTCCCTCCATAATTTCAGTATGTTCTGGGCATCGGTCACCAGACCACTGCTGGGGGTTCTACATGAGTATGCTCCGGTCGTGAATCCATCTGTTGGTCGCCCCATCTTTTCGTAGAATTTTCGAGCTCTACCCCTGTCGGGCAGCTTGTCAAGCCTTCATACTCATACATTTCGATCTCTCTGTTTTTTTTGTCTGCAACTGCATTATTTATTTCTTATTTCACACTAAGTGTAGCCCTTAATTAGTCGATTAAATACCTTCTCGAAGAATAAAAATGCTTATAAATATTATTATTCTGAAAAAGCTCTAGCACACTCTCATATCGAAGTTTCATTTCTATTATCCGCTATGTTAAATATAGATTTTCGATTTTAATTAATTTTTGTGTTTAGACCATAAACAAATTCCTATAATGCGCACAGAAAAGAAAATTGGCCGGTTTCGGAAAAAAATCATTAGTGCGCACCCACTCATATATATTATTATATTATATAGTAAGCTTAACACTTGCTATGTGGGTACATGTGTATATATAGTATGTAAGTATTGTATGTCAGTCAAATGCACTATTTTATTTTGCACTCTTAGTAAATGCGATTTTCATGTGACATTCTGTCGCTCTAACATTTATCACCTTTTTAGTTCAATAGGTCGCTTAAAATGTGTGCTTCCAATAAATGGCAGCGTCTGTATGTATCTGCATTTGTGTGAGTATGAACATACACACTTCTGCGAACATATATACATATAAAGACAATTTGCACATTGGTTGTGCCACTGTGTCAATATGTGTGGAGCCTCTCTTAAATCCCATTCCATCTAATTTTTCACTAAAAAGCAATGAAAAGCAACAAACTAAAGGTAGAGAGGCTAACTCCATCGATATGGAAAATAATTAGGGGTATAATAACCCACATACTATATTCCAAAAAAAAAAAAACAAGAATACTCGTAACTTTTTAGCGAGGCGAATGACATCACTTAAAAGGTTGGTTTAGGTTAGGTTAGGTTGAATAGCTGCTATAAAATAGTATACAAGATGATAGCCACACACTTTAAAATAATTATAATATTACTGAATTTTGCCCACTCTAAAATAATTTTTATTAATAAAATTCACAATAATAATAATATTTTGTAATAAAAATAATAATAGCTTGAATGGGTTCAAGAAGTATRCTTTAAAAAGGCTTTTAGAATTGAAGAGTTGCTTTATACTGCAAGATATACTATATAGTYGGAAGTTTATTATTCTATTGTAGARAATGCACGATTTGAGAAATAACGACTTTCCAAAATGGTTAATCGTGTTTAGATTGGATTACATACCGACAACGCCCATATTGACTCCACTAAGCCCTAAGTCTAATGATGGTTTTACAATAAATTTAATTGCAGACTTTTACATTCATTACCAGTCAKGTTATTTTTGTTGAGTATGTTTTGCCATTTCATCATGGAAAGACTTACGCCTGAACAACGTTTATRAGTCGTTCAACTTTATTACGAAAATTCACGTTCTGYGAAGAATATGTTTCTCGCGCTTTACTCAACTTATGGCGAGATTCGCTCAACTTATTCGCAACACCATCACCCATCTCGARACCCAGCATTCATTAYTGGTTAATATTCGRYCGAATAGACCACGATCAGCACACAATGAATAAAATATAGCTGCCRTAACTGAGAGTAGACACGAAGACCGTGGAGAGTCGATTCGCAGCAATTCGGATTGACGTATGATATGATAAGATATCCATATCTTAAATTGAAAGCGCACAAACAACAGATTGTGCAACAATTAAAGCCGCTTGACCTTCTCGAGCGAGGTCGCTTACTTCTATGGGCTTTCGAAAAGTTCCAAGATGATCCGATGYTCYAAGATGATMCGAAATTGGCATTTTTGAGATGAAGAGAAACCTGAAAAGATTCAAGTGCTGACATTTCATCCAGAATAAACAACGGTTTGGTGTGGTTTGTGGGCCAGTGGAATAATCAGTCCATTTTTCTTCACCGTCWATGGCGACCGTCGAATCTTCAAAAAATAAATTCTAAAGAATGTTTTTTTCGAATGATAATAAACACTCCCATAACTCCCAAATAACTCAAGAACGGCCCGATAAAGACCCGATATAGCTGAAATTTGATGGAGAGGTAGCTTAGAACCAGCGGACGGATATAGGGTAATTTGTATCCTTTCAAGTCAGTACAATTCGACTTCTGAAGATATTTTGCATCAAATTTGTATCCACTCCAGAAGTGACGATCTTTAGATGAATAAAGAGATACATAATAGGGCTTTACTCTTGAGCGAAGACATGTGTTATAGTTTATTTTTCAGGTTAGGAATGCCAGAGTCAAATTGTGAAATGAATGACTGAATTGTTTAATGGTAAATCTGCTGAAGATTTTTTTTGAGCAATTGTTGACTATCGGTAATAGTTGAGTACCTGTTGATGAATCGAGCGAATTGATTTCATTTTCCCGATAATTTCTCTAACTTTKTCTCAACGAAAGATGAATTTATCAACAAACATCATTACTAACCACAAAAGTAAGGAATTGTTGAGTGAGCGAGCAATTTTAGCCGCAAAAAATGCGAATGTAGAAGACTTCATCTTCGAGTTCAGAATGAGGACATATTGGTAAGTATTGAATCAAGATGAAGCCACTAACTAATCAATTGAATATTTAAACTCCTTGGATGAGCCTGGCTTGTCAACGCCTAATTTTCGCCTAATGGTTGGCTTCGTAGTAATAATGCTTCGAAACATAAACCAAACAAAACTATAAGCAATGTGATATGCTTTACAATACTCAAAGGAAAATTCGGTGAGGAAGTTTTTATTCGGAGTATACCGATGATCCCAACCGATATGCCGTTTGAGGTTAAAATACTTCAATTTCCGATTCTATCATTGGTAAAGACCATTAAAGACCATTATTCGTTTGGCGCTGTCATAAGTGACTTAGTTTTCATCACCAGTAACCAATTGTTTTAGTCACGGATTTATTTTGTTGTGATTCATTTTTTGAGGTTCTGTTCCTGAGGTTTTCTTATGATGACCAGTATGGCATTCACACATCGAGCTTCTTTCTGTATCCAGCCATATTTAAGGGGGTATTCTACTCTAGAATTTTGAAAAATTGGATTTTTTTTCATATATTTAAAGTTTAGACTCTTAAGAACATATCCTCTAAAGGATTTTTAAAATTAAAATTATTTTAAGAGCTACAGATACTTTAGTGACGCAGTACCTTAGTGCGCTGGGATGACTTAGACTGCTTGAAATTTTACTCACTTTTTAAACGCGTTTTTCTCGAAACTACTTTTTTCCACACGGTACCGGCATTATCTCAAGTTCTATGCAACCGATTTACTTGAAAATTTTTGTGAACCTTCTTTATATAATCCTTTATCGTTCCTACCAGCATCGTGCCAAAATTTTTGTTTTTAATATTAAAAAAAATTAAGGAATTTCAAAAAAAGCGTAAAAATGATTTTTATTTTCAGAAAAATTTATTTTTATTTTTCAAAAAAAAATTTTTTCGTGTTCCCTGAGGTAGGGACTATAACAGCATCCTTACTGATTACGAAGTTTGTTTGATATTTTTTTCAGACTAAAAGGAGAGTCAGGATCAATGTCACCAGGATGCGCCATTTGTTTTTTTTTAAACCTGTCTCTTCCCTCCCTGTAATTATTTTAATTTTTAATATTTTTTTGTAAATTTTTTTTTCTGTATTCTTAAGATATCAATAAAAAAAAACCATAAAAAAATGGATAGTAAAAATATTTTTTTTTTTGTTTAATAAAATTCAAAACACTGCCCAAAATTTGATTTCTACACTAGAATACCCCCTTAAAGTTTGTAGTCTGAAATATGCTTTTTGCATGGTCAGTTAGATATGGCATCTGCGTTGTTTGTTCTTGCGCCTGATAAATAAAAAAAATCGTGTATCACAAGATACTTAACTGAAAAGCACGACCCCTGCACTAGAATACATGAACAATAAAGAGACATTAAAATACCTAAATATTTTATTTGTAACAAACAAAACCTGTTTATTTGTTTCCAGAGTTCGCCGGGTCCTCTAGTATTCTACGTATTACACTTTGGAGTACCATATATTAAGATTCTAATGTTTCTCGGGCCCATATTACCAGCGCTTGTAGTTATATAAAATTTTTAATCGTTTATATTTTTGTACTCTGCCAATACAATACTTGGTTTTTGAGAAAGCAATCTGAAGCTTGCTGCAAGAAGCTGCTTGGAACCGCTCTGAAACGCTGTTATTTTAGGATTTATGTAGCTGCCAGACAAACTGAAGAATCGAAATCTTGATGAATTTTGACATGGATTATTTTTCAAAACAGTGGGGCAGTCTCCAAGCCAATTGTTCAGATTGCAACATATCACTATAGCATATAGCCAACACACAAACTGACCAAACAAAATCGTTTTCTTAAATAGTTACAGGAAACCACTGTGATATCTAAAGTCTCGTTTGCTTGGCTGAGACAATGTGAGGTGTGATAGGTTGACAAGAAAATACTTTTTTTCATGTTGTCATGAATGGAAAGTGCGGTAGACTTTATTTACAATAACTATGAAGTTTGACTGCTCATTTCTCGTATGCCATTGTGTGTGGCAATCTTGTCTCTGTTCTTCTGATTTGGTGTTTCAACTGATGCTTTTTGACTGCTAGAGTTCACAACAGTTTCGTTCAATTGTATTATAAATACTATAATTTTAACATATTATATAAAAGTAATTAATTTTTATTTCTTTTCTTTGCAGCTCTAGGTTTAATTCAGTTAGCGCACGCCGCCTCGTCCGGCGTTACAAGTACGGAGGCATATTTCAATGGTTCGGCCTACCTGCGACTGCTCACACCGATGCCAATTTGGGATCATTCCGCCATCAGTTTTCGCTCCTGTCGCGGTGAGTAACACTTTAAAAATTACACGCTCTAAAAGACTCCCTCTTATAACAACTAATACAACTGACACATCTCTTTGCTAACCGCCGCCTTACAGGTGGTGAAATTTTAGCTCAACAATATAATAAGAACTCTTTCGTCATCACTGTGCTGAGTGATTTTCTGCAAGTCTCACTGGCCGGTCCGGCGGTGATTGGCCCCAACAACCGTTTAGATGTTAAGCTACCCTACCACTTACTCGACAATCACTGGCACACGCTACAGTTCAAGTACGAATATGGTAATCTCTACTTGTACATCGATCGCACGTCGTTAGTTTTCGGTAAGTACATGCATTACGGTAACACCATGTCATTGTTTGTGGCTATTATGTAACAAGCTTCATTACTTTACCGACTTTAATTACAGCGAATTCCACGTATAACAGCCAATTTCTGACTAATCAAGATATCGGCAATGAGGCGGCTATTTTAATATTGGGCAACTCATTTAGCGGTTGTCTACAAGATGGACCCGGCTTGCTCTTCATCAATGGCTCTGTGCAGAATGTCGTTTATGGTCCTTGTCCGTTGAGTACCGGTCCGTGTGGCGATCAYGATACACTTATGCTTGGACAAGATAATTACTGCTCCAATAATCCGTGTATGAGTCATGGTCAGTGTATACCGTTGAATGATGGTTACGAATGCCGTTGTACGCCACGTTACACGGGTAAGAACTGTCAAATCGATAATGGTTCGCCGTGTGCACGTAATCCCTGCGCGAATAGCGGTAACTGCACCGAAGACGTACGCGGCGATTATCAGTGCAAATGCACAACGAATTATAGCGGACGGAATTGTGAAACGGAAATCAATGTACATCCCGCCTGCCAACCGAATCCGTGTTTAAATAACGGCGCTTGCATTGTAGCGCCGGGTTCGACGAAAGTCGAGTGCGAATGTGCCAAAGGCTATGCGGGTGCGCGCTGTGAGAATGATGTGGATGATTGCGCCTCGCAACCTTGTCTGAATAACGGACGTTGCTTGGATTTGGTGAATGGCTTYACATGTGATTGCCGTGACACCGGTTTCACGGGTCCAAATTGTCAAACGAATATCGACGAATGCGAGGGCAGTCCGTGTAAACATGGCGGYCGYTGTTACGATCGYTACGGTTGGTTCATCTGTCAGTGTCCCGATGGTTGGGCCGGTGAGACGTGCGAGGAGCCCACGAACTGTAAGACGCAACAGTGCTTGAACGGCGGTACCTGCGTGAATAAGACGATCGGCTTCTATTGCCAGTGCGCGCCAGGCTATAGCGGTGAGCTGTGTCAACAGAGTCCACCGTGTCCGCAGTGTCCCATCGATTCGGAGTGCATTGGCGGGAAGTGCATATGTAAGCCAGGCACAACGGGTAAGTCTCGCCAGTTGGCGGTTTATTTGCATTTCTTTACGCCTTCGTTCGTACGCATTTCATCGATGTGCGCATAATATGTGGGTTTAGTTTAAGCAAGTAAAATACTATTATATTTTTATATGAAATAAGTTAGTTGTAAGGGTTTTCGGTATGGTTAAAGTGGGTTAAGGGTTGCTTCTTTATATTATAACTATTTAAATAGCTTACTYTAAGCTTCTACGCTGTCATTTTCTTGTAAGAAATTTAAACAAAAAAAGTGATTTTAAATATTCCTTCTGGCATGCCAAGCTTCTTCTGATATTAACCTCTCGCCCAACGAATCGTATGATGCACTCAGCCAGTGGGAATGCCTGGGTGAGAAGCGCAAGCGCTACATACCGCCCGATTGGTTAAAAAAGAAACGCTGTGAGCTGAAATTAAGTACGAAAAGAAAAAATCATATTGTGAAAATATATAAGTACTGTTAGAGATTCCTTCAAGCATTACTGTTATTGAGCTTTTAGAATATTTTAGTATTTTCAAGTAAATTGTATTGATATTTGTATAAATGGATGTGGTTATTTGGCAAGTTATACATATATTTTTTCTGCTTTGGTGGTTTTAAAAAATATTTTTACATATTATGTATTATTATTTTTGATACTGATTTAATTCAATTCCGCTGCCAACTTAGCAATCAGGTGTTTTTATAAAAACAAGATGGTCAATGCCAATCGCTTTAAAATCCAAAATTRTGTTGAAATATAACTTTGAAAATCGTTTATATTGTGTCAAAAAGGTTCCTGGAAATTATAAATAAAACGCAAAATATTTATTTATTCATCAATACCCCGATTAAGATTTTTCCAGCCGTCGAAACTTTCAGCAACTTTTTGAGATAGCCTTCAGCGAATTTTGCTTTCAAAATAGTCTCCAACAGATGTAATATACTTATGCCACAATGTTTCCAGTCCTCGAGATACTTTGCATAAGTCTTTTTGCGATGGTCTTCAGTTTCTTCAACAAATTTTATTTTATCTCTTCTATCGACTGAAATTTCAATTTGAGGAACAAGAAAAATTTGCACAAAACCAAATCACATGAATGCGGAGCTTAAACGATGCTGCGATGGCGATCAGCTTGCAAAATCCATGAATTGTTCTTCCATAATTCTTTACCTTTTCAACTGATGTTCTCACGTCAACGCCTCATTAATATAAAACCAAATAGAACTCCTTATTGAYCGCCTGTTTAAGTTCGAAGATGGGCAATATCGGCCCACTCCACCGCCCACAAAATGGCGAAAACCGAAAACCTATAAAGTGTCAAAACTAAGCCATAAATGAAGGTATTAAAGTGAAATTTGGCGCAAAGAATCGCATTAGGGATGGAAGTAACTTTTTTGGTAAATTTTACGGAAGAAATGTCATAAGGAAGCTGCATCCAGGTTTTTTAGAAATTGAAAATGGGCGTGGCGTCGCCCACTTATAGACCAAAAACCATATCTCAGGAACAACTCGACCGATTTCAATGATATTTGGTGTATAATATTTCCTTAACACCCTGATGACATGTACGAAGTATGGGTGAAATCGGTTCACAACCACGCCTTCTTCCAATATAACGCTATTTTGAATTCCATCTGATGCCTTCTCTGTATAATATATACATTAGGAACCAATGATGATAGCGGAATAAAACTTTACACAAATACGGTATTTGAGCTGAGGTATCCCTTGTGGAAAAATTGTCGTGATCGGACTATAACTTTTCAAGGTCCCTGATATCGATCACGAAGAACTCAGTGCCTACCTAATCTAACCTAATTTTTCACCGAAAATATCGATAAATCTCTCAGATATTTTGATGTAATTCTGACGGCATCATTTTTATACTCTCGCAATAAAGTTGCTACTAACAGTATATATCGTCAGATATATGGTTACCAATACCAAAGTGATCAGGGTGACGAGTAGAGTTGAAATCAGGATGTCTGTCTATCCGTCCGTGCAAGCTGTAACTTGAGTAAAAATTTAAATATCTTGACGAGAGTATAAAATGTTCGGTGACACCCGAACTTAGGTCTTCCTTACTTGTTTTTTGTTTGGTTTCGGCTCGTTTTTCTCTGCTCCATTTCGATCATTTTTTGATTTGCTTATCAAACTCATATGTCCATATCTCATTGACACTTAAAATGCTTTCCATGAACGTGGGTTCCGAACTCGAAGAGACCTGTTTACGGTACCCTTTTTGAAAAAAATTTAGTTCTATCGGAACGAGTCGGTACACTCTAAATAGCCACCAAAATCATTTGAACGGACTCACGAGAGATGTCGAGCTCTCTTGYCATCTCTTTAACACCTGCCTGACGATTTTCAAGCACCATATCCTTAACTTTTTTAATATTTTCATAATGGTTAGAAATAAAAGATAGAATAAAAGACAAATCCTTTGTTAGATATTTTTATTCATTATGAAAGTCGTAACGCACTATTGAAGTGTATCGACTTAAGCAGCTGCTGTCAACAATCTGGTTGACAGATCGCGCTCAAATAAGAGCGTACTTAAAATCGTCTGCAAAGTTTTCCTGGCGACAAAACCCATGCCTTCACTTGGACGTTTGAAGCAACCGTGTATAGTATTAATAATTGTCACCGAGTCAACTATAGTTCGCAGTAAAGACCGCCAACTTCGATAGTGTATTCAGTTGGGTAATGAATAATTTTGGAAGTTCGGCACGCTGTTGTTAATAAAACTCGCTTTACTGTGAGAGTTTTGTCACAAAATGTTTGTAATTTTTATTCAATAATACCGATATATATTATTGTACATCGAAGAGCTTTAGATTGAATTAAATCAGTATATTTATATTAAAAGCTAGGTATTTCCAAAATCTTGGTGGTTCTATGTATATATAAATTGAGTAGAACAAGGAACATGGAGACTAACAAATGTTCGCTTAGTTGGCAACGCTAATTAATTCTAAAAAAATAACAGAACGAAATTAAAAGAACGGACAGCTTACTGAAACTCCAAATATCTTATGTCGACTTTGTCTACTTTTTTTGCTGGGGCTTAAGGTATAATTTTCGAAAATTATGGCATTTATTTTAAACAACCTCAATAGTGGGAGAACCTTTTTCTAGTCTAACCATGATATCTATATTGATTTTTAGTAGTTTTCTGAAAAGTCCGTTTTATTCATTCAATCTTTAAATCTAAAGTCTAGTCAAAATTAAAGTCGGAGTTTTCTGATTTGGGATATCACATGTCGATAACTTGTTTCTCTTTTGAAGGTGATTACATGATGCCACWCTCGTAGAAACATTAGTCACTACTGGCGAAAATCTGGAAGAATTTATTTCCACAGACTTTTATTGATGTGAATTTTTCACCATCAAAATCATTCCTTATAAACAGAAACAAATAGTAATCACTTAGTGATTATTAGATTCAAGCTATAAGGTAGATGCAATGAAGATAACCTAAACAAGCTCCGGAGCGGCTGGCAAGTCACTTCCGATGGGTATGGGATGACGTTGTCTTGATAGCGGAAACCAAAAACTCTCCTATTGTCAACAAGCCACTTCTCGGCGATTACTTATTTAAGAGGTTCGTAGAGAAGAGATCGTAGTAGATGATTCACTACCAATCCCACCGAACACACTGGAAACGTTTCACTATTCTGAGCGTTAGTATGGCACCCAAGCATTGAACTTTTTTATAGCCAGCCTTACTCGAATGGTTTCCAATTATTTCTTGTGCCAAGTTCAGCATCTGTGCAATAAAAACCGTGCTTAAATAACAGTCAGACTCGGAAGTTTTTCATTATTTTATCGATATTTTCTACAGTTGACCTTTCAGAGCAGAGTACGCAAAGGTACGCCTTTGACATACAATTTTTTCTTCTTCTTTACTGGTCTAGACATCGCTAACTCGATGTTATGC